TGGAGGGGAACAGTGGTCTGGTTAGCCCTGGTTACCTCTCCCTGTGGGGGGGACAGTGGTCTGGTTAGTCCTGGTCACCTCTCCCAGTGGGGGGGGTGGTCTGGTGAGTCCTGGTTACCTCTCCCGGGGGGGGGGGGCAATGGTCTGGTTAGTCCTGCTCACCTCTCCCAGTGGGGGGGACAGTGGTCTGGTTAGTCGTGGTCACCCCTCCCGGGGGGGGCAATGGTCTGGTTAGTCCTGCTCACCTCTCTCTGTGGAGGGTACAGTGGTCTGGTTAGTCCTGGTTACCTCTCCCAGTGCAGGCGAACAGCGGTCTGGTTAGTTCCAGAGCAGACTCACCGGGCTTTGCAGGGGACAGAGTGGTGAATAAAGGTAACTGGTGAAAATTCTCTGGTGTGCCTATTCCCCACCCCAAAGCAGAGACTACGCCAGCTCTCTCTAATGCGTTGGTGCAGGCTCTCACAGATTTTCTAGGTTAAAGCTGAAGTAAGAAAAAACAACACTCTGGGTTGGACAGGTCTCCTGGGGGACCGGAGGCTGGCTGGAGGCGTATTTACTGCCACTACTACCTGCTCTGTGTGTTTCCAGGAGCTGGGACACCGGCCCTACCACGATTCTGCCGTGTCTGTGGCTGACTGTGTGCCCTCGCGCCCTTCCCCAGAGCTTCCAGAAAGGCAGCTGCCAAAATGTAACCCCCCGTTTACCATCCTGTCAGGTACTGGCGTTCACTCCCCACTGAAATTTTGCTCTACGAGCCCTTAACAAGTCCTTGAGTTTTGAAAGGCAACTTAAACGCAATGTGCTGGCTGGGGTTGGCATTGCCTCACGTTCAGACACCTGGAGTCTGGGTTGTGGCTCGGCTCTGTGGGCAGAGACACCGAGCTGGGTGAAGGTGCCGAAGGCCGTCCCGTTGGTATTCCTATCGCTTTCATAATGCTCTGTATTCAAAACAAGAGCGGTTCTAATGTCCACTGTTGAAGTGAGAGACAAGGACTGCCTTGGCCCAGAAAAGATTTCCAGTTTAGGGAGCTTGAGGTGGCTCCCGCCTTAACGAGGACAAGGTGTCTCCAGGTACAGAGTTCTACAAGGCTGTTCAGAAGAGAACAGCGTGTCGAACAGCGTGTCGAAGCTCACGCTGGTTTGGCTCTAGTTTGCTTCCTGTCAGACGACTTTTAACAGCTAACTTTACAAAATGAGAAGCTACGTCTAAAGGCCAGATGAACGATTTGGGGTTGGACACACTGGACCGTGAAGCCCCGCCCCCCAAGGTCAGGATGGCAGCTGCCT